AAACAAGTTACTGATATTTACCTATTTTCGATGGAATAATGAAAATCTACAATTTAATGGCCCCAATTTATTTGGCAAAAAAGAAACTAGATTTTTAAGAAACTTCAACGATTTTTTAGAATTTTTTAAGCCCAAATCTGGTGATCCGGCCTTTTCTTTGATCCAGATCGCTGATCCACCAATCTGACCCGATTTTTGGATGGCTGATCCGGTTCACCGATCCGTTTTTTTAAACTTTGCTTTTTTCTGAATGTAACCTACAGAAATTTATGGGGTATGAACCATAGAAAAACCCATGCACACATGCACATATAATCAGCTAGTGCATTGGAGGCACTGTGTATATCTTGTTTAGATTACAGCTGTTGATTGGGGTTACGGTGGAGCTTCATTGCTTTTATGCATTTCTAAAGCTGCCTATTTTGTGATTCTCTTTGTCTTTGCTGATCTATTAAAGTCGGAAGAAGAGGACAACCTATGTTCCCCCATCTCATCTGAACATTCTTGTCTTCAAATTGAATTTTACTTTGAATGAACTATAAGTCTGGGATGAATTGGGTTTAACATCATTGAATTGTAGGTGGTGAGATCACTACTGCAGGCGTACCATGTGACGCACCAGTAGGGGATCATACTAACAATCCATCATCCTTGGAAAGGAAACCATCCAAAGTGAAAAGGCAACAGCATCATGACCATGAGGGCAAGAGGATCAAATTGAGAAGGCAAGAAATAGCTACCTAATACCATGGATTGAAGTATTTTTGTGACTCATGAAAAGTCTTTAGATCCAAGTTGGGTTTTTCACACTTAGTGATGAAAAAACCAGTGGAGGAAGCCTGAAAAGCTGTGTCGTGATTCTAGCTAAAATTTTGTGCGGGAAAGAAAATTATGCCAAAGGTCTTTGTATGGATACTTTCACCCACAGGTGCACCCAGAGTTTTCAGTGGATTGGAGATACATTGTGTTTATTGAAATCATAGTTTTGCAGAGAATGATTTGCTCAAATTGCCAACAGCACTAGGAGGCAAGCATTTAAGTTGGATTTAGGTAATCTATGAGCTGACATTGATTCTGGAATTTCAAACGAGGATTTTAGATCTCGTTCTCTTGTATCAAGGCAAATAATATGCTCCATAAGTTATATCGCTATTTCCTTTTTGTTTGATAGCAAGGTCATATGGATATATATGCTACAGGAAAATCCAAGCTTCTTGAATGTGGTGTTTGCTTTGTAATGTAGTGGAGTTACGGGGAGCAATGAAGCTCCTCTCTGTTGATTGTTTCAGTTATTATTATTGAGCTGCTTTCAGTTTAGATCTAAAGTTACGGTTGTACAAGGTGATGAAATGTTATATTGAGATGGTATAGAATAGAACAGGAAAACTAATCTAATGCAATGGGAGGTGTACTATGCATATCATATTTCCTGTTAATAAATCATCTCCACTACATGCTTTCGATGACAAACATTAAATTAAATAAGAGATTGCATGCCATTTTCCTTTGGTACGAGGTTACAATCACTTTAAACTATCAGGGTTTTAAGTCTTAAAGCCTAGATTGTGTGCAGAGATTGAGAAATTTTTTTTCAAACTTTGAGCTTGATCAATGGCATATGTACGTAATTGATTGATTTTAAATCTTAAGGCCCTCGTAATTGTGATTTCTTTGTACAAAGGATAAAAGTTCTTATTTTAAATTTTTCCATCAAAGAATTGTTTCTTTGCTTTGAGACCACCATTCCTCTCTAGCGGCCATCATTGAGATGGATGGTGATGATGAGCTTGTGCTGCCATCCGTAAAATACACTCATCTGGCAAACCTATTTTGACATTGCCTAATGCAGTTAGATGGGGATGGATGACTTCCTTGGTGATCCCGATAGCATTGGCGATACCGCTTGGGTGACCAAGCTTGGTTAGGTTAAACCCCTGTAACAGTGTGGGAGTCTGTTCATTTAAAAGGTTTAACCCTTTTAACAATCCACATAAAATTTCCTATTCCAAGATTGATCATAAAATATAGAATGACCTTTTATATGAAAAGGTTTATATAAGGTTGATGCATTATATTGTAGAATTAAAGTGTATTTCAAAATTTCATTGGAAAATTTTGTTTTAATGTTGGAAAATCATTTAATTGATTATCTCAAAGTTGAGATGAATATGGAAAAAAAAAGAATTCTAAACTTAAAAAATAGTATATCTTGCAACACATTATCCAAATCGTTTATTTTCAAGATTTTCATGTGTTAATAAATCTGTTTGATTTGAACTGCTTTTAGAGTTTAAAATTTATAATTAAGAGATAGAAATAGATTCTCCGACTATCTTAATAATTTTTGAGATCAAAATTGTTTCTTCTGACAAAGTTTGGTTGTGCATCTTACGTTCATTGTTTAAGGTTATACATTATGCAAACCACATTCTTTTACTCCCTCATGGAACCTTTTGACCACAAAATGCCCTCACAAATATACTTTATCGTAACAATAATTTGTTTGAAAACAAATAAAAGCATATTTAAGATTTTAGAGTACACCTATATTTAATTCAAAATGAACAAATAAAAGCATATTTAAGATTTTAGAGTACACCTATATTTAATTCAAAATGTCAAAATAATGTTTTTAATTTTAAAATTTACTTTTGGAGGGATTTAAACATAGGTGTCATTTGCATAAGGTTTCAAAATTTACTTTTTGGATGGATTTTAAACATGGGTGCGGGTGTTATTGTAAATTTTGTATTTGTGAGGGTATTTGAGGTTTTTTTTAAAATCTTGGTGCGGGGAAGGGTTAGGTTGTAAATTTCCTTTGTGTTTTTGGTTAAAAGAGAATAGAACAAAGTTGGATGTAAAAGTCATAAGAAAATTTAGTGTGGCCATGCAAATGGTACAAATAGGTAAAGATTATGGAATCCTATTTGCCATGATTGTTGTCAACTGAGATATTACTTTAAAGGAAGAGCTAGATGTATGAAGGAAGAGCTAGATGTAAAAATACATTCATGAATTAGATATTTAAAGAGCTAGATGTATAAAGAAAAGCTAGATGTAAAAATAAATTCATGACTTAGATGGTGATTAATATCTAGAACCTGAAATTGTATGTGATCTAGAGAAATATATTGGTGGTGTTGAGTTGAAAAGTCTAGGAAGACCTAAAAAGGCTTTTATGAGGCTCAATGAGTACGTCTTGTCTTTTACCTGCCTAACGAATGAGAGAGAGAGGTAATTTTTTAATGTGATGCATGTTAAGTCGATAAGCTGGTCTATAGAGGAATAGATGGAAGCCATATAACAAATCAAATACGAGATTGACGAAAGAACAATTGGTTGCAAGTGAATCCTCAAGAACAAGGAAATTTACAATGAGGTCATTGAATAGGTATGAGCTTGACAAGTTACAAAGGGTTATATTCAAAATTTAGGTATCGATCAAAATGAAATTCTTTTCTTATTGTGTGCATGTTCACTATTAGAGGGCCGCCTATAGCTGTAGTTATTTTTAATTTAAATTTGAAAATAATTAGATGCAGAAATCGGTTTCTTGTATGGTGACCTAAAGAAGGAATTTCATATCCCAAGAGGAAGGTAAGGAGCACAATCCTTCCGTTTGTCAAAGCTCTCCTCTTTCGTAGGAGAATCTGTGGTGCTACTCAACCATATTGAAGTCTTTGCATTACTTTGAGGAACTCCACCATCCACTTTTTCATCACCTACTCCAAAAGAGATAGCCATGAGAGAGTCCTCTTCATATTATCTAGTCTTATTCTCTATCCCTCTAGGAAAAGTCTAAGGTTGGTTTGTTGGTTGACAGCTACAGTAAATGCCCAATGGTCTAGATTGAATATGGGTTGGCCCAATAGTTATGATTGTATTTTGTATTTGATTTTTTTTTGTATAAATTCAATGTATTTAAAATTTTAAGCGTGTATTTTTTAAAAATAGGATAAAGTAATAAAAATATTTAAAAAATAATTTATAAAAAATTAAATGATCAAAATACCTCTAAAATTTATCAGAGTATTTTGATTAATTTAGTTTTTACGAATAATATTTTTAATATTTTTATTAAGTGCCCCTTGATAAGAAAATGAGCGCTCTAAATTTCAAGTAATTTGAATTTATAAAAAAATATTGAAATTCAAATATAAAATATAAATTGTAATATTCAAATCGGCCTAGATTTGTTTTTTAGTGTACTGACATGATCTTTTCCTCTATATATATATATATATATATATATATATAATACCTAGTTGTACTAAATCATCATTGGTCGAATCTCCATATTGTCCTACTAACAATGGATGGTGGAGATTAGACCTAGTACATGGCTGGGGGAGGGTCCTATAGGATCATTACTTATATATATATATATATATATTTATACACGCTTCGATGTCGAGATAATCAATTAGAGGGTTTTCAATATTAAAATAACATTTTCCGATGGATGTTTGAGGTGCATCTTTAATTCTACATTTTAAGATTGCAACCTTATATAAACTTTTTTCATAATGGAATCACTAGTACTTGGAACTTTTTAGATTTGATGAGGAAAAGCAGTTCCTATTCAAGAAGGGAAAAAATATTACGCACCTTGTGCACATAATATATAGTTAATGTGCAACTAGTTCACCATCTATCCTCGTAAATGGATGGCGGAGATAGGCTACTGTTATGCTTTTAATATGCTTGTAGAAAAATTCGTTCATTTATTTGGTTCAGAGTTCATAATTAGTGCCAAAATGTAGTGATTTAGCCCTTTTTCCTATCTATACAACCATTTTTCAACTGCAAATAAAAATAAAGAAATTAAAATTTTGAAACCTTTCGAAATTGAAGTTGAAAATCATTGATTAGTCTCATTGTTTCACCAAATTGTGTCAAGTTTGTCCAGAAATGTTTTTATCGCATTGGTTTACAAAAGCCCAACAAAAATTTCTGAATCAAAACCAAACTAAGATTAATTTTCAGTTTATGCTTTAATTTTATGCCATTTTATTCAAATCTCCTCTTGTTTTATCTATATTCTCTTAGGGCTCGTTAGGTTTATTGGATTCAGATTTCCAAGAGTCACTTTTTCTGAAAAAGTTGAGCCAATCATGTTTGCTTCGCTTAGAATTGACATTTATGTGGGAATCCTGAATACTCATTTTAAGCTTAAATTTTGGAAATCTCAATTTCACCAAAATAAGTGGAATTTTCATGGAAATGATCCATTTTACTGCTGAAGAATAAAAAAATATTAAAATTTTAAAGAGAAAAACTATATCAAATTTTAAAGAGAGAAAACATATTAAAATTTTAGAGAGGGAAACTATATCAAATTTTAGAGAGAAAGAGTAGATAAATTTTTTTAGAGAAAGAAATATATACAAAACTTTTTAGAGAGAGAAACTATCTTAAATTTTTAGAAAGAGAAACTATCTCAAAGTTAAAGTTTTAAGAAGACCATATTAAAATTTCAAAGAAAGACACTCTCAAGTATTAAATTTTACAGAGAAAAAATATATTAAAATTTTAGAGAGAAAAACTATCTTAAAATTTTAGAGAGAGAAACTACAATAAATTTTAGAAAGAAGAATTACTTAAAATTTTTTAGAGAGAAATATCTCAAAACATTTAGAGAGAAATTATTTCAAATTTTAAGCTTTAGAGAAAGCATATTAAAATTTAGAGATTAGAAACTATATCCAAGTTTAGTTAGAGAAACTACCATAAAGTTTTTAAAGAGAGAAAGTATCTCAAATTTTAAGTTTTAGAGAGAGAAAATATCATAAAACTTCAAAGAGAGAAACTATATCAAATTTTAGATAGAGAAAATACTTAAAATTTTTAGAGAGAGAAATTAGTTGAAAAATTTAGATAGAGAAACTATCTCAAATTTTAAGTTTTAAAGAAAGAAAGTATGTTAAAAGTTTAGAGAGAGAAACTACTTGAAAATTTTAGAGATAGAAACTATCTCAAATTTTATGTTTTAGAGAGATAAAATATCTTAAAATTTCAGAGAGAGAAACTATATCAAATTTTAGATAGAGAAAGTACTTAAATTTTTTAGAAAGAGAAACTATTTAAAAAAAAATAGATTGAGAAACTATATCAAATTTTAAGTTTTAGAGAGAGAAAATATGTAAAAAATTGAGAGAAAAAAACTACCTGAAAATTTTAGAGCGAGAAACTATCTCAAAATTTAAGTTTTAGAGAGAGAAAACATCTTAAAATTTTAGACAAGGTAACTACATCAAATTTTAGAGTGAGAAAGTACTTAAAATTTCTTAAAGAGAGAAACTATCTTAAAAGTTTTTGAAAGAAA